TTGCGGCGACACGAACAGTTGCAACCTGAAGAGGAGTTACTTTCCGGGGCGCCTTTGGTTAGTCACCCAGTATGGAGAGGTGCCTGCCGTTCAGTTGCAATTTCGATGCCCTGTGCGACACCGACGTCACATCAACTTGTTGGAATTACATGCGGTGTTGGAAGTTGAGAGGCGGAGTGCCCTGCGGCGACCGAGCTCCAGGATTTTAATCGGTATTGACAGCCAGGTCGTATTGGGGGCTCTGCTGAAAGGACGGACTGCTTCACCACAGCTAAACCGGATGTTGCAACGCTCCCTGCCCCACGCGCTTGGAGGCGACTTGTACGGTTCATATGGCTATGTGCCGTCCTTGGCGAATGTGGCGGATGACCCAACTCGAGGAGCTGCAATTCGCCCACCGAGCTACCGGACTGGTTGGCGGCAGCTTTGCAAGGGGAGTTTGAACTGTTTGACAAGTCCCCAAGAATTAGCAGGGTTGCCGGGACGCCCGAAAGCTTAGCATGCCGAATTGAGGACTGTTTGCACGAGCTGCGATCGATTCAGAAACGCGATCGGCTCGCACGGTGTGACCAAGAAGAGAACTCTTCTAGGTTTGTCGTCTCACCCCCTGTGAAAGAACAAGAAAGCCTCATGCGCCCCAAGAGCCTTCAAGAGGGAACGACTCCCCACCGGCGAGGACGGAAAGACCTCAAGAAGAGAAAGAAAATAAGCTGAGCAAGGACCCCTTCGAACCTGGCCAGTCCTTGCATGGTGAGGCGCAAGATGGGCGCCAAAAGGAGAAAGAAAGAAGAGAGCTGCAAGCTCCAGCGGAGGAGACGCAAACATTTCAAGAGCTTCAAGCCAATCCCCAACCCCCTAAGCACACCCTAGGAGCCACGCTTCACGGCGCCACGGATTTGGGATGAGGTTGACACCGGCTGCGCTTTCTTGCAAAGCTGCGCTGGCGCTGTTCCCCGGTGCCCAGTTTGTTGGTTGAGGGTGGCTGGGCGTGCTGGGAAGGCCGGAGTCGCTCGACGGTTGAGTCGGATCACCGGCACTTGTGGCACTTGGCTGCTCACCTTTGATTGAACGCGAAGCCGAACAGGACCTCCTGAACCCCAGCTTGCAGAAACAAATTCTGGAGCTGATTGAGTTGGATGCCTTTTTGGGTGTGGGAGCTGCACCTGACTGTTCCAGCTTTTCGCGAGCCATCTCTCCGGCAGTTCGTGATCGGTAGCATCCTGAAGGCCTGCCGGGCATCACGATGAACATGCGAAGGAAGGTTGAACGGGGCAACCAGCGTGCTGCTTTCACCCTTGCAGTCTTGAAGAGATGCGGGCCGAGGGCCCTCCCTTATTGGTTTGGAGAATCCGGACGGCAGCTTTTTGTGGCTCCAACTGGGTTGGGTTTCAGCGGGATTTGCCTTACCAGACAGCTGTTTTCGTTTTGACATGTGCGTGTTTCACACGCCCTGGCGTAAGCGGACCCGCATAGCTACGAACGCGCGCTTGTCTGGGGTCCGAGAGCTTTGCAGAGGAGGCCACAGCCATCAAGTGTTGAGGGGCCGGAGCACGATCCACCGGGACAACTGGACTCATGTGGCTCAGGTCTATCCTAAGGGGCTGTGTACTCGCATTGCGTCGGCTACTGTGGCAGCGGTTGTTTCAAAGGACGCGGGGCGAACTTTGGCTCTGGCAGGCTGCTCGCGCGCTGGCACCTTGCGGGTTGGAGAAGCGCAAAATCCAGGACCTTGGCGACCTCGAGATGTTGCGACCCTAGATGATGCCCAGCTGATCACACCGGCTACCGCATTTTTGCAGGAGCGTGTTTTTTTAGGAGCAATTTCGCAGACGGTTGCAAACACATTTGAGCGCGGAGACGTTTACAGGTGTTTACTTGCCCTTCTTTAACAGTACAGCTGCTGAGAGCCTTTGGCAGAGTGATGTTCGAGAATGGCGAAAGTTTGCATATGTTTCGACAACTTTTAGCAACTGCTCAGAAGAAGTTTGCGCTAATAAAGCCCCTCATGACGCCTGCTTGGGCGCTGGTCAGTCAGTGGGAAGAGACCGAACCTTTGGTGCGCCGCACGCCGATCCCCGAACCCTTATTGCGAGCAATGGTTACTCTTGCGTTGTTGTGGGGGCGGGGAAGATGGGCGGGCGCTGCTCTGCTATGCTTCGAGGGCATCGGCGGGATTGGGGCAGTCCTTCAGGTGGAACGGCGTGATCTTTTATTGCCCAGCGATTTGTTGGATGCAGATATACCCAAGCTGCATTTCTACGAGTACGGCAGCCAAAAAGTCGACACCGAGGGAAGGCAAAAAACCAGCACTTGAGAGTCGCGGATGTGCGGACAATCGGTTTCCTGGAAAGCTGTTTTGCTGGTTTGTCCCCCTCGTCAAAGTGAGGCTGAATCCGGCATGGTAAGTTGGCAGCAGGAGCGGAAAGAACTGATTTGCTACGGTGATACATTTTCGACTTTTTGGGCAATGCTGGAAAACACTGTAGGCTGCTGTCTCCTGCAAATAGGACTCAAGAGTCCTCATAGAAACAAGCCGCATACGCCACATCAAACTGGGAATTGACTCTCCTCGTCTGTAAGCCGCTACTGCGCCACCACCTCGAAGCCCGCCTGGAGTAAGCTTTACGGTGGATGGGACAGCCAGAGCGTTGAGTAATCGCGGGGAACAATCTCGCACCTGTGGTGCTGGCGCTTGAAGAGATGGAAGTGGTCTGTGCTAGCTGATGACTGTGGACAAGCTGCAGTGCCTTTTCAGCTTGGCAGCCCAGAGCCTAGTGGAAGCAGCAAAAAGAGGCAGCCAGAGCGACATGTTTATGATACCGTTCACTTTCTACTGTCATGCCTTCCTCAACACTGTTTGGGGTCTCTTGCCGGTGAATCTTTTATGTGATTTAGTTGCATGTTGATTTGATTTGAGGTTGAGGTGAGTTGAGTTAAGCCGAGTCGAGTGGACTTGAATGGAGTTGAGTTGATTGAGTCGAGTTGAGTTGAGCCTAGTTGAGTGGAGTTAAGTTGAGTTGAATGAGTTGAGTTGAGTTGAGTTGTTGTGTTGAGTTGATTGAGATGAGTTGAGTCGAGCTGAGTCGAGTCGAATTGAGCCGCGTCGACTTGAGTTGAGTGACAATGATTTGGCCAGGTTTGTGCCCACGACCAACTTGAGCGAAAACTAGGACCAAAATGACTCAGACACTACGCCCAAAAATTTAGCGTGCGCGGGCCGAAAACATCCAAAACATCCCCAATGATTCAGAAACTAGGAGCAAAGTGAGGGATCTTGTATCCAGGTCTTACTTTTGGAAGTTGGATATCTTCATGCCAGGACTTTCCCGGGATACAGAATTCTCGATCCGATTTAGACAGTTTAGATCCAGCCTTAAGATTCTATCTTCCAGGAGTTAGATGCCGACCTCCCTGTTTTTCAGACAGTATTGAACTCCATGCAAATTCCAGTTTCGTGTCGTGTGGAAATATCTAAGCAAGTCACACCTGCATCCCGAAATTGCAATCCCAGATTTTAAACCCAAAGCGTCCAGATCTAGAGTTCTAAGTTGATGCTTGGACTTTGGTTTGAGACTCTGATTTTCTAATCGTGGGCTTTGGGTTTGATAAAGCATTTGTCCAATATGGTGTCATGAAAGTTTGGGTACAGCGGATGGGGAGAGGAGGAAGACAGAAGGAAGCATGGTAGTTCTTTGTGGGGCACCATGTGTATAATATATGTTTGTGGGCACATATACATATATATATATATACTATTATAAAGCAAGACACATCATGCTCTTTTTCAGATGGGGTATCTTCTCCCAAAATGCAGATGACAGTAGTTGTCCTTATGCTTGCCTGGCCCTGAAGGGTGGCTTGGCAATTCCTGATGAAAAACAGGGAACGGCATGGGAACAAGCAACGGAAAAGCATTGGACCAGTGTAGGGGAGGGGCCAGAAGTCGGAAAACCATTGGCAAGCCGTGGGCAAACCTTGGGAACACCGGGGGAAACCATGGGAACACCATGGGAAACCACCAGACAACCTATGGAACAAATGGGAAAACATGCGAACACCATGCAAACACCCTTGGAAAGCCCTGAGAGCAGCTCTAAAACCCCCCTTTACATCCCAAGCAAGAGTTGTGTCACAACCAGGCCCCACGCAAGCAAACCCCGGACACTTTTGCTGCAGGAAGACGTCCAAGACCGCATGTGCATACCATTAGAGAACAACACCAGCTGAACATTGATTGGGAGCTCTTGCATCTCACAACAGGCGCTGTTAAAATCTTCACTAGGACAAAGCAAGGTTTCTGAATCCGCGGATTTTAGGAGTCGTATCTGGCGGTGATGCGCCGGGGTGCTGAAGTCGATCATGTCTGAGGGACCAAGCTTCAAGCTCGGTGTCTCTTGTCTTAGATCTGTGTTGAGGCAGGTAAACCAATTGAAAAGGGTGATGCCTTGTGAACCTGTTTCTCTTGTTTCGCACGTTTTTACTGGTGTTGCGGCACGCATGAAAAGCAAAAAGGATTGGGTGCGTAAGCTCGCGTAAGCAGGCGCGTAAGGTTCAGGTAAGCTCGCCCAGCTCGGCTGCCCGCTAGCCCTCGCCATAGATGCCGCCGTTTCATGACCTGCTGTAAGAACAACAACGCCAAGCCGCTGAAACTCGTGAGGGTAGTTCTTCGTCGTTTTCTTCCTCAGAATCATCCACGTCATGTTGAACAGTTCTGGCGGCTGCATGGGAAAAGGGGCCCGCGCAAGCAATTCTTGAGGGGAAACGCTCAAAACGCCGACGCGTAAGCGATGCGTAAGCTTAACATGGTTGCTGACTGTGTAAGCTGAAACATAGGTCGCGCAAAGAAAGCGCAAGCTCGCGAGTAAGCAACCTGACGCAACATAGGGAGGTTTATAGAGTCACCATCAGAAAAAAAACACAAAAACAGGGCAAAACCTAGGAACACCGAGTGAAATACAAAGGACAAGGTGGTCGGGTTGATCTCATAATGCGCCCGCCAGCTTCTGGGAGATGCCCCAGCCGATGATCCCTTGCTGCAACTCGTGACTGTGAAGGCGCATGTGCTTACTGCTTGCCGAGAGTTACGCCGTTTCACATGAAGCGAACTTGCATAACGGCCCTTGCGAAAGGCAGATGCGCCATGATTTTGCTCATACCAGACACCCCGAGGTTGTAGTGTGGTTGTGGACAGGCTAAACGCAGGCCTGTCAGGACGTATTTTTCCATGAGGCCAGGCCTGAGGCAGCTCCCAGCTCAGTGTTGCACACTATCCATACTGGTTAGTCCGGCCATCCACTAGCAGACTCACTTTCAGCGCTAGCCTGTTTTGGCTGGTGCGCTCCGGGTGTTTTCAGTTGTGTCAACATGTATTGTTCTCCAAGGCAGTGGCCGCTTGCTTCAAAACCGAACGCTTGCAGCATAGCTGGAGATTTGAACATTCTGCCAAATATTGTCTACTATTGCACAAGCTCAGCCGATTATTAAAACTAGGGTGCCTTTGATCCCCGTTGACCTTGAGATGCAATGGCTGTGGATGGAAGGTTCTTACCAACCTGTCACTCGACTCTCGCGCTGCCTGGCCAGCAGAAGATGCTGAAGCGGCAGCCTGAGTGCGTCAAAGCAATGTCAAATCACCCCCAAAACTTTTGTAGATGTAATTGATTGTTGTGGCCGATAGAACTTTTGCCTTTGCCGTTGAATTCTGCATGGCTGAGTGTGGCGCCAAGTTCAGATAGATTGAGGCCGTCAGTGGTGTCTTGCTCCAAACCATTGCTGACAGCCAGGACTGTTTTGTTTGAAGTTTGCAAAATCTGAGCTGGTTTGCGCTTCTGGTATTGCGGATGCTGCATGCTTGCATCTCTCCTGAGATGTTGGCTCGCACTAGCTTACAACTTGGTTGCCTCGCCGGCTGCACAGGATCTTGCTTCTGAGAGCCTCGAGAGGCAGGCTGATGACGTCAAAGTATTCGGGTGACTATCGGTGTTCAAACAACAAATGACACTTGGGTCGGCTGTGTGCTGTTGCGAATTGCAGCTGCGCGTTTTGCAGATGCGCCAGGCAGCAGCTTCTGGATCTTTCGCGCCATTTGCAGAGCCGTCTTCCAGGTTCGCCAGTGCCCCAGTTGGGCATGCTGAGCTTGTGTGTAACTGATTGATGCATGCGCTGACTTCCAGCAAGAGTTGTTTACCGCTGAAGACCATTTGGAGCAACGATTGAATACAATCGTACTGCTCCCACATTGGCTTTTAAGAAGCGTGATGGTACCTGTGGAAGTTGTTCCATGGCTTGCTTTCTGCGCTGCTTGCGATTGAGGGCATCAGCTCAGCCTGAGACTGCTGCGGAACGCGAGCCCAAGGACTAATATTTGATTTGGAGGCATCATTGAGACAAGGAGGATAATTTGCCACTCCTCCCAGCAGTAAGTTACAATATTTTGGCTACACTGGGTACAGTGTTGCACTCAGTGGGTTTTGCGAGCTGTTGTCCAGTCTATGCCAGCATTCTGCCCGCATCTTGAAAGGAGCCTGGACAGTAACATCTCATGGCGGCTGTTACGGTACAGAGCCATGCACCATGCAAAGAGATGATTTTGATTTGAGCCCGTAGTGAGTTGAGCGACTGCTCGCAGTCATGCACCTTCTGGCATGCTTCACAGGGGCTGAGCGGCTGCCAGGACTGGTTTTACTGCACTGCTCCAGGGTGCGGCCGCCGCTTTGGCTCTCAGGACATCCAGGGGTTGGAGGGTTTGGAGTTGCACCGAAGAATTACCGCAAATCTTCGAAATAATTGGAAATTAGTAAAACTATACATCTGGCATCTTTAGCTCCCAACCCTTATCTAGAACAGACAACCTTTCCATTCATGCTAAGCAAGACGTCGTTCCAATTCAAAGTTTCAACTCGTACGCGCAACTCACAACTTCTGAGCACATTGCAAGCCTACGTTTCGAGTCTGATGCTACGACTCAGTACTCGATCCTCCTTGTATCGTGTCCAGCCTTTGCACTGCTTGTCAAGCTGCCAGGAGAAGCTTTCGGCGCATTTTGAGCGACGACACACGAAGAAGGAGGTGCTGGAATAAGGGGAGGTGCTAGCGAACCCGTTTCACACGCAGATCCAGCATCCACTTTCACAGACAAATGTTTGCGGGCAGCTGGTCGAGCACTGCAGCCCTTTTTGCGGAGTTGTTTGCCTTGGCACGATGTTTCTTATTATTTCTCGTGAAGCATCACGTTGTCGGAGAGTTTGCCTGGATTTGTCATCGGCACCTGACCTGTTCATTTGCCTCATTTGCCACGAAGGTTTGGCTTGCACATTTGCCAAAGTCATTGTGAATGATGGATAGTTCTAGATCTAATTAGGCAGTGGACTCATTCGCTGCTTTCCAGATGCAGGCTCCTTCAGAGATGTGTGCATGATGGGCAGCATCAGTCTACAGCCAGGATGTAGAAGAATCACCACGTGCCATTGATTTCCTCTCCGAGTTTGTTCAACGTAGGCTGCAGAAAATTACACGCATCCCACAAGCAATTTCAAAGCCAGCAGTGAATTGTGACGACCTTTTCTTACTTGTAAAGCAGTTGCAGCTTGCGCGGCTCATTTCGCTGTCTTTGCCACATTTCGGCTCAGCTATTCGTTCAATAGTTCGGTTGTACAGAGATTTCATGTAGTTCAGGGTTGGGCCGAAGAGCCCAAGTACAGCTCCACACTAGGTGCCTTCCGGGGAAGAGGTACCGTTTCTTTGAGAGCAACCTGCCCTTGACAGCGTTGAAGACCTGCCCCGAAGTTCCGGCCTAGCCAAGGTGCAAGTTGGCGGAAGCCACTCTGGACTAGAAACCCCGAGGACCGCTTCATAGGCTAAACTTGGCAGCCTTCTATCTGAGCATGACATGTGACATGAGGACATGGCGGCACCAGCGAGCATGAGTAGTTTGCAGTTTGCCTCTTTGTATGTTCCGCTCTTAGCTCTCAGGTACATGCCACACTGAGGTGGTGATTTGTTTGTGGCAACTTGCAACCACGTGGGCAGGGCAAACATGACTCTATGTCCGCTTGTGTACAGCACCGAGGTGGGTGATCTTCATCCAGATGTGGGTGAGGCCAGAAGCCTCCACAGCAGCAGCATTAAAAATTGCCCCAAGAGGTCATGTTTCTGCGTTGTCTGGCAGGCAACCTTGTATGAAGCGTTCAGCCAAGCTGGCAATGTTGCGCATTGGGCTCAGCCCATGTTGGCCACATCATGTCATGATGGTCTGCATGTTGCTTTTTGCAGGGCAGGTTCCTCATCGGCAATGCTGAAGTTCCCCCTATGTTCCGCCACTGTCATATGCACGCAAGCAAGCGTACAGCCTGGAAATATCACACTAGGTGGCGACACGAACCGTTTCAGGTCATGTCGAGTGTGCCGCGACAATGCAACTCGCAAGCTGTGGACTCGGCTCAGCACATGCTACTTAAAGGCAACTTTAATCATCAGCTTTTCACTAGAAATTGCCGCATGTGGAATCGCAACCGCCTTCTATAAAATGTCCTTATGCACATGTTCAGAACTCTCTGATTGGACTGAAGCAGTTCCAATTCTCTCAACGAATCGCATGCTAAGCTGAGGTCTCTTGGCTATGGGTATGTCAACTACTACAGTGTCCAAGATGCCGAGCGGGCTTTGGAGACGCTCAACTACATGAGCATCAAGGCATGGATTGGTGCATCCAATTTCCACATAATCAAGCATGGCTTCAACAATGCTGGGGCGTGACAAGTTAGTATTTTGTTTGACAAGGTCAGAGTGCCATTAAAATCATCCACAGGAAGGCACCCGCTGAAAAGGGAGCTGAAATGGAAGCTGCTCAAAACCTTCACGCTTTGAATCCTCGTGCCATGACAGGGGAAACCTTGCCGAGTCATGTGGAGCCAGCGAGATCCCGAGCGAAGAAGGACTGACTCTTTGACTTGTTGAGTTCTGTCGATTGAATATTTTCGCGAATGTTTCCGACTGAGTGCAGGGTTGATGAGTTTGAACTGAAACTACGCCTGGGCAGGAACACTGCAAACAATATCTTTGTCTGGTGGCCAAGCTTGTGTAACCATTCGGGCAGTCACAAGATACAGCACCCCTTTGTTCCATGCAGAGCGAGCCTCAGGTAAAGGGCTTGGATCCCAGCATTGACAACAAGGCACTTGGCTGCATGCTGCACGGAGCCAGCAGTACATCCCAGCGCATCCTCGGCATATACCCGCCTTGCGAGTGATGATCCAGCTTCTCCTTCAAAATGTCCTGCGTCCGCCTTCCGCTGCTTCTCTATATACGTGCTTTGCAACGGCCTCCGGCGCAGGCTTTGCACGACACATTTAGCATATTTGGCAACATCCTCTCGTGCAAGGTGGAGGACTTGGTTGCCAATTGTCAGTCATGTTTGGGCTCAGCCTTTGTATGAGGTGTCCACGGACAACAATGGCAAATCTAGAGGTTATGGCTTTGTGCACTACGAGGCCGGAGAGCAGAGATCATTTCTCTTCTAGGGCTGCACCCACCCGCGCACCCACGCGCGCGCATACCCACGTGCGGCGCATCCGCGCACGCGCCCACGCATGCATCCCGTCCCCAGCGTCGCTTGCGGCAGTTTGCATCCCCAGCTTGTAATTTCTGCATCATCAGCACCAATGCCATGTGAGCAGCTTTTTTTCTCCTCTTTTTTCAGATGACGGATTTTAGCTTCGTGGGGAACTCCCAAAAGGTCCACGAAGGCCGTAATATTGACACAGGCGAAGCCACTTTGCGAAGCCACTTCGTGGTTGGAGTGTGTCACGTGCTTTCACGTCAGGTGCGTTCATGGCAGAAGCATGCCAATTGTTGATGCGTAGAGTCAGAAGGCTATGACAAGAGTACAGGAAGATTGCCGTCAGACTGCCGGAAGATTATGGGAAGACGACAGGAAGACGACCGGAAGAGCACTGTGCGTTTCAGGCCCGGTTTTGCTAGACGCCTTGGGCGCACAGCGCAGCTGGAAGCAGCTGGCCACCGGCAAACCTGCCCTTCATGTCTCGGCTGGTTTCCCCATGAGAAGTTCATCGTGTACCTTCATCTCCCTTCAGCCCCTTTATGTTTGATGCATCTTCGAGTTCTTCTGATTTCCAGTTTCCTTTGATTGCATCTCCGTGAACGCCCCTTGAGTCCTTTTTTTTCACACTCACACACGCCCACACCCACGCGCGCACGCACACACACACACACACACCCACGCACACACACACACACACACACACCCACACCCACACTCACACCCACACCCACACCCACAAGCACACGCACACCTGCGCGCGCACGCACGCCCGCGCACCCGCGCACCCGCACACCCGCACCCCCCCGCACCCCCCCGCACCCCCCCTGCACCCCCTGCACCCCCTGCACCCCCCCGCACCCCGCGCCCCCACGCACGCACACACGCACACACACACGCACACGCACACGCACACACACACACACACCCACACACCCACACACCCACACACACACACACACACCCACACACCCACACACCCACACACCCACACACCCACACACCCACACACCCACACACCCACACCCACACACACACACACACCCACACACACACCCACACACCCACACCCACACCCACACACACACACCCACACACCCACACCCACACCCACACGCACACACACACACACACACACCACACCCACACCCACACCCACACCCACACCCACGCCCACGCCCACGCCCACGCCCACGCCCACGCCCACGCCCACGCCCACGCACGCACGCACGCACGCACGCACACACACGCGCCCGCGCCCGCGCCCATGCGCACTGGCGCGCGCACATGCACACGAGCGCGCACCCGCACACCCACCCACACACACACACGCGCGCGCCCACACACCTACACACCCACACACCAACACCCACAGACCCACAGACCTACACACCCACGCATCCACACACCCACACGCCCGCGCACGCGCGCACGCATGCACTTACGTATTCACGCTCCGACTTACCCACCTACCCACCCACCCACCCCACCCACCCACCCACGCACCCACACGCACGCAAACGCACACAAAGAAAAACGCAGACACAAAACACAGACACACATACACAGACACACACAAAGAGACATACACAGACACACGCGGACACACACACAGACACACACACAGACACGCACACACACACACACACACACACATACACACTTATCTCGAGAGGCTTCACTAGCCGAGATGAAAAACGCAGTCAGTAAAAATGCTTGAATGCCAACGCAAATCAACAGGTCACAACATCGACACCGAACAGGAAGCAACAGCGACAAACAGAAACCGCAAAAGGAATCAGGAAAGAGGGTCAGGAAATAGGCAGGTACGCCGGATTGATCAGATCCGGTATCCACCGAAATGCCGTAGCTTCATTGGACTGGATAGGCAAATCGGCTCCAGTCCCCCTGCAATGTGGAATTTCCGTCCGTGCTCCAGGACGCTTCACACACACGGAGCCCCAACTGGGGCGACATCACTTGTGCAAGGCCCATTGAGTCTTGCAAGCATCAATTGTGCGAGAAAGTCTTGTGGCGATGACTGACCACACATACTTGGCTTTGGAATTGGTCTTAAGGGAACGGAGGAGTTCAATCTCTCCCTCAGTCCAAGGCTGCGAGGCTTCAGGTTCGGCCTCAGTAGAGGCATCAGTCCTGGTCGATGTGGTAGCTTCGCTTGGTCCACGAGCAGGTTTTGGATGCCGTAGATCGTGAGGAGGCCAAATCACGTGCGCGGCGAGCTCGTTTTTCGCCGGGAGAAGACGGAGGAGGGGTGGGCGGAGCCCAATGATCAGGGAATTGTTCGTCATGATCAGTGGGAAGGTGTTCATCTGGAGCATCAGGAGGTGGCTCAAAGAGGTCCTCAATGGCGGGGTTGAGCGTGGCCTCCGGTGCCAAATCAGGTTCGGCAGGCGGACTCTCAGGGAACTCGCGGATGGTGGCGATGCCTTGTTGGGCAATGCCAAGGATGAGTTCGAAGTCTTGGAGCAGCTGGCGTGCTGTGTTGGTATCCATGCTCGTAACGGATTTTGGTCAAACAGTCAAACAGCTGCGGCGCGAAAATCAGGTCAAATCTGTCAGGATGCAAAGGCAGAGAAGAAAACCAGTGTGGTTCCGCAAAGGACGGTTTTTCTTCTCTTTGTAAGGTGAAACCGTGTTGGAGGTGCAACCTCTTCAACATTGCAAGACCCTGACCTCGCTGAAACTCAGGAAAGGAAACTCGGTTGATCAGCGTGCGTCCGGAATAACATCCAGATTCCTTATGCATCAGTGGTGCGGCTGACTTGACGGAGAGCATGTTGTGCTTCTCATGCGAGGGGATGAAGGAGATGGTGCTGCTTGTGAGGTTCAGTCGGAACCCCAAGAAGTCCAGGGCGGCTTCTGTGTCCAGGAAGATGTCTCCTCCATAGAAGTGTTCGTCGCACAGTATGTTGGCTGCCGGAGTCGAGAGCCACCTGGGGGTTGCGATCACGAGTCTGTTGTCCACGTAGCGGAGTAGGAGAGTATCTTCAACGGAGCGAAGTCCCGATGTGATGTGAGTGTTGGTCCAACATTGTTCGGCGACCGCGATCACCATCAAACAGAGAGCTGGGGACGCGGGGGATCCCATCGGTGCCCCACGTGTTTGCCTGAATGAACGAAGGCCGACAGAGAAGATCTGCATGTCAAGGGTGGCCTGAATGATCTCGGGGATGTCGTCGAGCCACAGGGTGCGTTGTGTGGGTTTGTGTCGGCGACGGCGTCCGTTGTAGACGCGGGTGATGGCAGAGGTGTCAAGTGTGTCCACTGTGAGGTGTGTGGTAGAGGAGTGTGGTTGTCGTTGTCGGTACCAGGTTAGCAGTAGTCGCCAGGCGAGGAAGGGTGCAAGCATCGGCCTGGAGGGGCCAGGTGGAATGAGGCCCCGGAATTGTAAACTGGATCGAATGGCGGAAAGGCATGCCTGGTGGTGTGGTTCAGGCAGGTGTGTGGCTATGCGATGAAGGACATAGAGAGCGGCGGGTGGGAAGTCTCTGCTCCGTATGTAACGGATGGCATCAAATCGTCGTAGAGTGTTGCTGCCAAGATCGCCCAAAAATCGCCACAAATCCAGGCGGTTGTCCACGCGTTTGGCCAGGAAGGCCTGTTGTAGGGCGATGGGTAGTCGTAGTCGGCGGCGTTTTCGCCAGATGGTGGCGAAGCCCATGTGCCGGGATTGGGAGAAGTCCAATTGGCGTATGAAGCCCGTGCGTGGCCGGAAATGTTTCTCGATGAAGCCAAAATTGAGAGACGGTTGCAGTTCCTGGATGTAGAACTGTTCAGTGGCAAATAGGTCCGTTGCCGGAACGACAGTGTGAATGGGCACCGAGGTGTAGTGGTGGAAAAAGTCAAAATGTGCCCACCACCGGACTGCCAGTTCGGCATTGACCAGATGATGTCGCTGAACTTGGAGTAGTTTGCGAAGTTGGCTGCGGCCCCGTGCCATGAGGGAGGCGCGAGTGGCTCCGAGGTAGAAAAAGGCCTGCCACTTTGGATGGCTGGTGAATCTCAGATAAACCGCTGAAGGGACAAGCTGAGAAGAGAAATCGGAAGCAGGGTTGTCCAGGCCAAGTCGAGTAAGCAGGGCTTTCAGTCTGCCGGAACCACAGGAGAGATGGCAGACGTCAAGTAGCTGAAGCTGTGCGAGTAGCCAGGAGCAAGAATGACGTGCGGTGACGTCATCGGTTGGGAAGAACCGAAGAGTGAAACGGAGGACAGTGAGAAGTTGGCAGCAGTGGTGTTGCCAAAATTTGTGCTGCCTGGCTGTGCGTCGTTGTCGGTGTGCTGTTGAGAGTCACTGGTAGAAGTGACTCGCAGCGGCCAGGATGCGGCCCAAGGCCGATGACCCCAGTTTTGATAGGGTTCGCACCGGGATGCCCCATAGCACAGCGGCTCGTTCGAGTTGGGCTCTGGTGTCGGAGTCCAGTGTGGTTGCCCATTTTGCGCAGTCGTTGGACCAGCTTTTTAGGACTTGCTTGCTCTCTTTGCTGGTTTTCTGAGAGGTGATCCATCGCTGGACTTTGGTGTCGGAAATGTCGGGTGGGAAGTTGCTGGTGAGCCATTGGCAAACGTGGGGAGGTGGTTGGAGCAAGTCGCGGGGCTCCTTCCAAGTGGGTGGGGAGGAGAGGGGGGGAGGGGTCGGGGTGCCGCCGGGAGGGGGGGGGAGAGAGCCGCCAAAGGAGGGTGGACGAGGGCCGGGGTGTGGTGGGTAACGGGGAATAGGTTGGCCGTAGGTCTGACAGGGAGTCGGATGTGTAGCTGGCGGTGCCGATGCCGTGGAAGAGCATCCGTAGGAAGGCCCGGACAGGGCCCCGCACGGGTTCCCGGCCATGTTGTTGCCGTACACGATGCCATGATGATGGGATGCCGTGGGCGAAGGCTGCGGTGGTAAGTTTTGCCTTTGGAGCGCCGTAACCAAACCTCGAGGGGGTTGGAAAGCCATGAGAAAACACGGGGGAAAAGGAAATGTTCGAACCACAAGCTGGTGAGCGGAATCAAGCGGGTAAGGTCACAAGGCGAGAGAACGGTCGCGGAAAGGCAGAACAGCAAAGCAAAGAAAAAAGGCGATCAAACAGTGCACCAATTCTTTTCCTGGTTGGGTGGAAGATGGTACACTTGCGCCCCGCTAAGCCGGGCGCTGCAGCGCGATGCCTCTCAGCATCGCAAACTTGGAGTGAAGGCACCACTTTTTGCCTCGGCGGCATGCGAAGTGGCGCCGCACGTTGTGTTGATCCTCGTGGCTTCCCCCGGATTCGAGGATTTTGTGCTGATTGATGGAGCGTAGTTCCCCAAAAGCGATGGCGCCGAGTTGAGACTTTCCGATTGTAAAGTTCTGCAAGAGCTGGCCGAGCGTGTCGGGCGTGCATGCCGTGGGGGTGGCCTGAGCGTAGCATCCAAAGCTCGGGTAGTCATGGTTCTCGGGCCTCCAAGCAGCGGGTCGGATCATGTTCTCATGGCACATGCGGCGCACTCGATCCGGGGTGGTGCCGTGCACATACATGACAGCGTGATGGGAGGCCGTGCCGGATCCAGCTTCCGGGTCTCCGCCAGCAACTGGCCAAGGATGAGGTCGGGGAAACCAAGTGGTTGCGAACACCATGCCGTGTGATTCCCGTCCCAAGAGGTGGTAGAAGCTGGGATCGAACGGTATGGGATCATCCGTGTCCATGGTTCGCAGTTCCCAGCATTCCGCGAGGAGATCGGCATGTGAAGGTGGCAAAGCAGGGTCCAGGTCCATCAAAATGGCCTTAGTCTGTTCCACCCTGGAGATGTCCAAGGCTGGAAGCGGGTCCAGCTCCCCCAACTCCCTAGGCGTGGGAACTCGCAGCGGGTCAGTCTTGGCCGTGTCCATGACGTTTCTCCATAGATCAAGCCACCGGTTGTCGGAAGTGGTGGTGGCATTGATGTCCGCCTCCGATGGAGGGGGATCCAAATCACCGGTGTTGTCGAAGGGGGGTTGGGGAGGGTGAGGAGTAGCCGGCGTGCGTCGGGGAGGGGGAGGGGGAGTGGAAGTGAAGGCCGCCGCAGGTGCTGGGTGAGGGGGCAAGCTAGTGTTGTGGTGGCCGGTGCGGGAAGTGGGGTGGGGTTGCTGCCCATGGTGCTGCAGTGACCAGGACGATCGTTTGTCCTGGTTGTTTCGGTGGCCGGTGTGGCTGGCGCCATGGTGGTGCATGTCCCAGCGGTTTTTGTTCTGTGGTGGGTATCCCCACGATTGGTTCCGCCAGTGTGAGGAGGACCATTGAGACTTGTTGGAATCCTTCCCGGAAGTGCGCCAGGAGGTGGAATCATGAGTAGTGTGAGTGGGTCGGTGCGAAGTCGTGGCTCTGGGTGCAGGGGAGTGTCGATGGTGGGACCTGTGTCGGGGGGAGCGGGAGCGGAGGGAGACAGTGGAGTGGTGTGCACGTCGGGAGTGGTGGAAGTGTCGGGAAAGGGAACGTGACCTGCTGTAGCTGCGGGATCGTCGGGTGTCGTGTCGTCGGTGCGACTTGTTGTGCCTGCGATGGTGGCTGGTGTGGGAGTGGGAGTGTCGGTGCTGTCTGTGGCGGGAACGGGATCTGCGAGAGTGGGGATGGTGCCGAGTGTCCGGGGGAGGGTGGTTGGTTGAGGAGGTAGCGGCAGGAGCCGCAGCGGCAGCTTCGGGCGCGCGCGCCGGCTGAGGCTCGGGCAGTGAAGATGGCATGCTGCTCTGAGTCATGAAAGGCATGATGGTGCCAGGTGCCAAGTTGCCGTAATTGGGAGGGCCACCGTAGGGCATCATGGCCATCGGGTTGCCAAAGTTCGAGAGGCCGCCGTAGGGCATCATGGGGAAAGGTGTGAAGGATGCCGTCTGCGAGTTGGGTGACGGTACAAGGTTCATGGGCTGCGTCATCTGGGATGACAGCTGCAAGTTCGGTCCACAATTGCCTGGTGAGCCGGACGCGGTGCCGGTCGCAATGCTGTGCAGGAGCGAATGCATCATGTCATAGAGCTGGTGTCCAGCCATCTCGCAAGGGAGAGAGAAGGTTGGAAAGGGGTGAAACAAAACCACAACTGCGGCAAAAATGCGTCAAGCCGACACAACACCGAACCCCACAACCGCGAACACAAACCACACAGAGGGAATTCCACCAGGGGACCGCCAAAAACCCCGCGGCAACGGCAAAAAATTTTCAAAGACGACAAACCCGAGCACACAAAACCAAGCAGAGGGAATTCCACCAGGGGACCGCAAGAAACCCCGCGGCAACAGCAAAAGAATTTCGAGGGACGCAAATGGTGCAAATGCATGCGAGCAAAAATGCGTCAATGGTGCAAATGCATGCGAGCACAAAGGGGTTCTCAGAGGTGCCTGTCAAGTGGCCTCATGAAAGTGTCTCATGTGGCTATGCCGATGAATCTGAACTGAACTCATCTGAGACGAAAGCTTCCATAAACACCACGAATTGCAGAGTTGGTGTATGACCAACTCGTCACTGGCGCATGAAGCTTAGGAACCTGAAACCTCGTGGGTGCAGCCTTGCATCAAAGGCAGGCAGTGCAGGCAGTGCAACGCGCATGAAACCAGCAGAGCACCATTTGGGTGCGGAATACCTTAAGACCTCAAGCTGCAGCCTTGATCGTGGTCAAACGCGCTGAACTGAACTGCAGCTTGAATTTGAACACTTGAACGGTCTTCCCCTCGCAGGGGGCTCCCGCATGTGGCGAGTCCAGCCCACAGCGCCATGTCGGACAGGCCGTGGGTAAACACACTTATCTCGAGAGGCTTCACTAGCCGAGATGAAAAACGCAGTCAGTAAAAATGCTTGAATGCAAATGCAAATCAACAGGTCACAACATCGACACCGAACAGGAAGCAACAGCGACAAACAGAAACCGCAAAAGGAATCAGGAAAGAGGGTCAGGAAATAGGCAGGTACGCCGGATTGATCAGATCCGGTATCCACCGAAATGCCGTAGCTTCATTGGACTGGATAGGCAAATCGGCTCCAGTCCCCCTGCAATGTGGAATTTCCGTCCGTGCTCCAGGACGCACACACACACACACACACACACACACACACACACACACACACACACACACACACACACACACACACACACACACACACACACACACACACACACACACACACACACACACACACACACACACACACACACACACACACACACACACACACACACACACACACACACACACACACACACACACACACACACACACACACACACACACACGCACGCACGCACGCACGCACGCACGCACGCACGCACGCACGCACGCACGCACGCACGCACGCACGCACGCACGCACGCACGCACGCACGCACACACACGCACACGCACAGACACACACACACACACACGACACACGCACAAAGACACACAGACATACGCACACAGACACACAAACACAGACACACACACAGACACACACACAGACACACACAGACACACACACAGCCACACACACAGACACATACACACACACACACACACACACACACACACACACACACACACACACACACACACACACACACACACACGCACGCACACGCACACGCACACGCACACGCACACGCACACGCACACACCCACGCACACACACACACACACACACATACAATCACATACACATACTCACGTACACACACACACACACGCACACACACACGCGCACGCCCGCGCACACGCACACGCACACGCGCACGCGCACGCCCACGCCCACGCGCACGCACCCGCACCCGCGCGCACACGCGCACACGCACGCGCACGCACACACAAAATATATACACACACACGTGCACACACACACGCATGCACACGCGCGCACAGCACACACACGCGCGCACACACACACACACACACACCCACGCGCGCGCGCCCCCAGACGTGCGCACACCCAGACATGCGCACACCCAGACGCGCACGCCCTGACGCGCTTGCACCCAGACGCGCGCACACCCAGACGCGCGCGCACCTAGATGCGCGCACACCCAGACTTGCTCACCCACAGAAGCGCGCACACCCACAGGCGCGCACACTCACACGCGCGCAGAACCACCAGTGCGCACACCCACATGCGCGCGCACACCCACACGCGCCCACACCCACAACGTGCGCGCACCCAGACGCGCGCACACCCACACGCGCGCACACCCACGCACGCACACCCACGCTTGCAGACCCACACGCGCGCACACCCACGCGCGCGCGCGCACACCCACGCGTGCTTTCTACACGCGCGCACACCTACACGCGCACGGGCAAATCAGGACGGGTAAGAAATCGTAGCTTGTCCAGCCCGTCCACATCAGGACGGGTGAAAGAATCGCAGTTCGTTCGTCTGGCTGATTTTTTCAGTAGTCAATGTGCTTGTCTCACACCTGGACCGGGCCGCGGGCCTGTCCGCTTTGTGAGGGAAACAGGCCCGGCAACCGCAAGCAACACAGAAGGGCATGCCGCTCCCCTCTGGCTGAGATGAGCTTGCGAACAGGAATCAAGGGGGTCGGCGGATTTCTTTCGATTTGTTGATTCCTCGGCCTTGGCAAGAAATGGCTATCAGAAGCGCAAAACGCATTGAAAAAGCAGACGACGTGGTGTGCCACGCTGATTGTGATGTCAATAATTTCTGTCTAAGCCACTTCTTTCCACACAGCCGCCAGGGTGAAGATGCAGCAAAGGATGCCATTGCCAAAGTGAACGGTGCCTGCCCTTGATATTTGTCGTGCGGGTATTTTGATGTATCCTGCGAGCTGCGACCGAGGCATGTGCATCGCTGGCAGCACGGTCTTTGTTGGGCCATTCATCAAGAGAGAGGACTTCAGCAGCCTTTGTGCATCTGGTTTCACAGCAGATCTCCAATACATGCTTGGGATCAGCCACTTGACGCGAAGCTCAAAGGAGAGAGACGATGCTGCGGTTGAGACCTTCACAAATATATATGTCAAGAACATGCCTCCTGCCGGGCTCCCAATTGAGAGCTACAAGATAGCGTAGCCGACAAAACTGATTTTGCGGGGCCTCTTCCGTTTGTTTGAGAAATGTGTGCAGGCATGGGATGACGACAAGGTGACTGCCATCTTCAGCGATTATGGCGAGGCGCTTTAGCCTCGCCAGGGTTGCGAAGGGACCCCGATTCAGCTCCTTCTGCAGCCCAATTCAACCCTCAGAGTGTCGTGCTTCAAGGCAATACAAATTTGCCTGGGCAGGTAGCATCCTCCGTCCTTTTGAAGACGGACGAGGGAAAGAGGTGCCGTGACCTATGGACGCTGTTTGATGCAAGGGTTCCAGTTCAGTCAGGGTCTTGGGGCCGAACGTGCCTTGGTCATGGCAGGTTTGCCCTTGTCAACTACAAAGCTCCTGAAGCTGCTAAAGCTGCTGTGGATGCTCTCCACAGGATGCACGAGTGTGCATGGCAAGCTGGAACAGCGAGCGCTCTTACAGGGGCCACATGCCGCACATTTGAGAGTCATGAGTCATGGACGAAACGCAGACAACGAAGTCATTTCATATTAAGCAACGTGATGATGCAAAGTGAACTGCAGAGTTGAAGCAGCTTAGATATTGCAGGAAAGACATGAGGCCAGAGCTGGGAGAGGCGCTCACGTGTTGGGTTTTGCCTTGGCTACGAAGGACTCAAGCGGTTCAAATGAATTCCCCTCACAGTTAGATGCGATAAAATGCGACATGCCTTTTTCAACACAAGCGGCCTAGAAATGAATTAACGGTGTTAGGATTGGGCTCTTATCATAATGGCTGCAACAAAAGCGTAAAAGGTTTCTCCTTAACTCACTTCGCACTAGTGAAAGTGTTGGTACATTTGGCGGCTTGTGTGTGTGCAATCCAGCAGGAAAAGCCAGAGACGCCAGATGAGCCAGAGAAAGAGGAGAAGGTCGAGACAAAGGAAGAGAAAAAGGAGGAGAAGGAGCAGGAAGACGGAGGCTACAAAGCGTTTGTACATTGAGCACACGAGGTAATGTTGATTCAGCCTTGCAGCAATGAGCTGTTTGGCCTTCCATGGGGGCAAGCACAGGCCCAGAGCAAGGGACAGAAGAGGCGGGCTGGCAACGGTTTGGCCAAGCGCTTCATGCTCGAAGCAGTGCACTTGCGCAAAGCTCAAGCAAATGACGATGTAGCGCCTCCTTCCTCCAAGCAAGGTTAAGCTTTAAATTGGGCGGACCCGTGGTGTTCAAAACTTGTGCCTTGCTTGTAAATATATATGTATATATGTATACGTATATGAAATGAAGAGCTACATCAACATCAAACAACAAGGCCACGGAGATGCAGCAAAGGGCCCGTGTTGATGGATTTGACCTCACTGCCCAAATGCTTCATGATGTTTCATTTGCAGCCATGTTTACTGATTAAGCACGATGACTGCACGATAACAGCAGGGGTCATATTATTATTATTATTATTATTATTATTATTAACGACCAGTTCAGGTGCTCCGCCTTGCAGGCTTGGGTAGCGGACAAAAGCTGGACAACTTTTTGTAAACTGGAAAATGTTTGCAAGAGAAGGCGCGTTCTGCTTCTGAAGGAAAGTCAAGCCTACCACCAATTGCTGCAAGCCGAAGATTGAATGCGCTGCGTTTGGTTGCTTGCAAGCATCATACATTGCTAGCCACGGTAAAAGTGCAACAGCCAATTATGAATCACCCAGAGCATCATGTGCGCGTACCATCATGAGATGTTGGCGCAGGACCACCCAGAGTATCTCCTCTATGTCCAACGGGCTCAGACTCGTGCTGCCCAGCTCGCTTATGCCCATCTTTGCCCTGACTCGATGATATTTGCTTCTTAGTTACAGAGCTTCGCAACTTCACCACATGCCGCAGCCGTTCCAGAACATCTGGAGGTTTGAAGGATTGGTTGGATGCCTCAAGTGCCGTGGTTCCCCGGCCGCGCTGCACAAAAGCGTTCCAGCTTGCGCCATGGGGCGTTCAGCTCATTGCCCTTGTGTGTTCTGATCACGGCTCTGTGTTCCCGATTAACGTTTCGTGCCCTCCAGGATGGTGACGCTGCAGGCAAAGTGTGCTTCCTCCGGCAAGGTGTACTTGGAAACATGAGATCTCATGGTAAGGTTCGTATTGGCCGTGCTTGTTCTGCAAAACCAGCAGCCGCCTGGTGTCTTTCTGCGGAAGATGCCAAGTCCCTGCAACAAGTTGTGCTTGTGCACAGGCACGGCGCCAGGTTTCCCACAAAGCCAACTGGGAAAGCTGATATTGCATGGCCCATCAGAACACAATTCTGGGATAGCTACAAAGGACATCTAACCCCAGTTGGCAGCAAGCAGCTGCAGGACACTCAATGTTCATTGTGTTTGCAGCAAGCCGTGACCGTGGGTTTGAATTATGCACATTTGAACATATCTGAACGTATCATGCTGTTTGCAGACCAGGAACTTGATGCTGGCCAAGCGTTGGGAAGACCAGCAATTCATGCCAGCCCGCTCAAGTAAGCATCTTGATCCCTGAGGACATTGGAAGTGCCCTGCGGCAACGCTATCTTCATGATCCCGTGCAAACTTTATTCCACGGGGCGGACAACATTGATGGCACAACATTGGCAGTCTATACCTCAAACGTGCAAAGAACACTGCAGAGTTCTTGGGCATTCTTGTTGGGTTTTGTCCCGCTGGCAGCTGTGTTTTTTGCCTTTCGTTCTGAGCGTGTTTTCTCTGATGCAGCGAGACGGGTTGCGGGTGTTCCCATTTACATTGAGGATGCGGTACGCTCAGAGGATCGATTGTTCCATGAGTGGAGCCTTGACGATGGGTATCATGAGTGGCGGAGGGACAACACGCGTCAATCCAAGTTTCTCTTGGATGCTTCCACCCGAGCTGAATATCAGCATCTCATGGACAAGCTGTACCAATGCAGCAAGCAAGAAGGCCTGTCTCCTGCCCACGATATGATTGACAGACTCATTGCTGCAAAAGATTTAGACACTCAAGTGTCGATTGAGGAGGCTCACAACCGCCCTGTCCTGGTTAATGAAGCTGGGATAACTCTAGATGACACAGAGCGCGCGATGCTGAAGGAGATCGGCAATGAGGTCAAGCGCCGTTGGTATGCTGCAGATCCTCGGTAAAGAGTCTAAGGCACAGTTTATCCTTTTTATGTGAACTTTCGACATCTCTCACCTGCCAACTTATCAACTCTTTGACTAAGGCCTCAGGCCTTTCACAGGACTCTTATGGCCGAAAAGGCGCTGGGTACTTGGCACACAAGATCTGGAGGCACATGAACCAACGGGCGAACGGGAAATCCAACCTCCGCTTTGTGGAGATGTCTTGCCACGACACGACGCTTGCTGCCCTGGCGACGCATTTGGGCTTGGAGCTGCCGGGCATCGGCTTCGGTGCCTTTTTTGCTTTCGAGCTGCACCACAATCACCAAGGCTGGAACTCTTGCACGCAAACAAGCTGTTTTGAAGTGGTTTGAATGTACTTTGTTTGTTGGAATGGAACCGCTTCCAACCGGAAGGTCATTTCATGAAGGTCTATTTCAACTGCAATCCGTCCGAGGGAATGTCCTCCTACCGCGTGAAGCCCTTGGCTTTGCCACTGGGGATGGACAAACTCCTTGCAGTGACCGAGTGCTCTGAAGGCCGGACGCTGCAACTTAGATGGGAGCGCGACATGCGATAGAGACCTTTTTGTGCCCTTGTATTTTGCCACCCTTGGCAACTGAGCTGTTTGACTGGTTGCTTCAAGCTCCTTATCTTCACGCATTCCACGTCTGAAGAAGGCTTCACAGCTGCCTTGTGCAGGTTATGTTCCTCTTCAAGCCTTTGCGGCTCATTGCCAGATCCCGGGTGTGGAAGAGACCTTCCAGTCATTCAAAGACTTGTGCAGCAGAGCAGCAGAAGGTTTGCCGACGCGGTTGCCTTTAAAGCTCTTGTTCAATGATGAGGCGCACCGATGGATCAGCAAGAAACAGTGGCAGGAGAGGTATTCCGAGGCCTTCCGCTACTTTGATACCGACAACAATGGTAAGCTGAGTTGCGATGAGGTACAAAGCGCATTTTCTGAATGGGGATACAGCGTTTCTGAAGAGACGCTTGAGACCTTATTTCAGCTTGTGGATTCTGATGCGGAAAGCGATCTCGACCAAGATGACCTCTATCTCATCATGTCTGCTCTGGTGGGAATTCGTGGAGGACTGCATGGTGAAAGCCTGGTGCAAGCGTAAAGCATCGGGCGCGCCTAGAGCCCAGGGGATGGTCTTCGGGGGTGGCATTCATTGCTGTCCACGCATTTGTTTTCACTTTGGAGAAATTGCATTCGGCATTCGTCAACTTGCGCCAGGGGCTGAGCGAAAAGCCGCGCTAGACGAGGACAATTAGTTATGCAGGCCGCCCAGGACAAATCCTCTCTATCATCACTGCCAGGAGAGGAGGAAGCGAAAGGAAGCTAAAGGAGAGGGCAAGGGTAAGGGCGTCAGGCTTTGCATCAGGCGGGGCATCAAGTGCTGAACACAAAACGAACACATACTAACACTTCGATCTGCGCCTGTTTTTCAACAGCGTCGGAGCCGTTTTGACATGTGACATGACCTACATGACATTCGGCCCATTGGGCACTTGCAACATGTGACAAGTCGGAACATGCCACAGGAATTTGGCGGAAGAGGTCACCGCTGACAAGCTGAAGGAGCTCTTGGAGCCGCTGCAGCCTTACGGCAAGCGCAGGCGCAGGCAGACGCAGAACAGCCTTTGCAACAGAGGCCGTTCGCTTTTAAAAGTCGGCGCACGCAGCGATTATTTTGCTTTGGTACTGGAAGCAGCGCCCAAAGACCCATGATATGACAATATCTATTTGTTCAAACGCTTTCCCAAATTGCTTCAGCGAAAGGACCAAGCCCATACAAATCCGGCATCGCAAAAGCGTTCTACGAAAACTGAGTCCGCGAAAGCTCTGCGAAAGAGCTACTTCTGAGTTCAGACAGCCTGTGATCAAAGCTGAGCAGCGCCGAACGCCCCCATGATGACATTACTTAGGCAGCTTTCTTCGGCACGCCAAGGCCGAGATACAGACCCGTTGGCAAGAGGCTGAAACACGGCCGCGAAAGCTTCAAAAGCTCCGCGAATGTGTCTTCGATGTCCAGGGTGCAATGTTCCAAGCATGCCGGTATTCAGCCAATTCGCCAACAACGCTTTTCAACCGCTGCCAAAGTTTGCTTGGCATCATACTCTGACAAGTTGCGATTCTTGCCCTTGAGCTACCAATGTTTTCCTTTGCCGAAAAGTTTACCTCTGTTGCTAGACCAGAGTCAAATTGCAACGCTGGATCTGCAGCGAACGGGACGAGAAAGGGGCAGACGGCCCAGGGCAGCTTACAAGCGCGACTTACATTTGCAGCGCCGTCCCCGTCAAACAAATGAACCTCCAGGGGAAGTTTCGGAGAGTGCTGAGGGTCCAGCACTGCATAGCCTGGCTATTTATTCTGGTCCAGCACGACTTACTTATAAGTCAATTTTAGGGTTGGGTTTTTGTTAAGGGTCAAGATGGTTTTGGTTTAGGGTCAGCTCGGTTTAGAGCTTGGTAAAGGTTCAACATGGAATCGGCATTTGATGGTTTAGGGTACCTCAGTGGGAGCCCTCGTGATTCGTAATTCTTGTCTACACTCTTTCGCGTTGCTAGCGTTGTTGGCCTTCCGATAGACAACGAGCAATCTTGCATTGCACATAATTCAAGCTTCGCCTACCATTTGAAGCCAAATCTGTCGAAGGGTGACCAAGAAGCAAAGGACTGCATTTCTCTATTTCCGAGGCAGCAATACACGCCCTCTCGATCACGAATCCAAGCCATCCTCGACCAGAAATCTCATCCACAATCGACTCATTCCAGATATTCACAGCACGCACAGTTTGCGGCACTGCTATCTCAACTCAATTTTGTTTGTAGCAGAAAGTGATAATGCGAGTGTGTGTGTGTGTGCGCGTGTGCGTGCTTGCGCACCCCTTACGTGCTTCTCTTGTTTGATTTGTGTTTCTCCTCTTTCTCTTTCTTTCTTTGCCAGTGTGTGTGTGCTTGGAATCGTTCCTCTTTGAAATCCTGCAGGGGCGTACCCATGTCGCATGAGGTTTGGCAGCATTGTGGCAGTGATCCTGAAGTGTGACGAGGCAGGCAAGTTGGGAAGAGAAAGAGTTGTCCAAACTAAAGGTGGCAGGTACAAACCAGTTCCATGCTGCGCTAGGAAACAGGCAAGCATCGTGGAGTCGGCTTCGTGGTGATGTCCACCATGGAGGAGGCAAACTCCCAAGACATGCGTGCTTGGCCAATTTGCTGCCGCCTTTCGCAACAGAGCTTAGCACTGGTCAGCTAGTCAAGGCCACCAAAGCCATTGACGAGCTAAACGGCAAAGAGGTAGAGGGCAAGGCCGATGAGCAGAGTGCGATTGCTGAGTCATGTGAGCGTTTGGCGGCTATTTGCTGGCGGAGGCGATGAATGTCACTCTGTCTGAGAGGAGAAGAAGAGGGGAGCGTACAGAGCTTACTGCATGAATTAGATTTCCATGGGACTACCAGACCATTTGCCACCAGTCAACCAGCGGCTGTTTGTTGCACTCGGTGGCACAAGTTGATCACTCTCATCTTCCGTATTGAAGGGGGCGACATTGGGCACACCTGCCAAATTACCATTGGGAAAGAATACATGGGCTTAGTTATTTAAATTCCCATGTCAGTTGCGACCACAAGAGATATTGACAGCGGTTTAGATGCATTGGTGGCTTCTGAGGATCAGACGGTGCTGAGGGTGCTCCCAAAGGAAAAGGTGATGGCAAAGGCGCCCCACCGGCACACAACAATGACACACATGCCAGTTGTGGTAGGCAAAGGCAAAGGAAAGGGCAAAGGACTGCCTTTTGCTGTGGCTCAGAACTACAGTGCTTTTTGATCCCATGCTTCCTTTGCAGGAGGTAAGGGTGGGGACTTCCAAGGCAGGTCACCTCAAGTTCAGAGAAGCAGACGCTTGATGCAGAGATCGCATTGTGTGCACACCTGCGTCAAGCAAGCCAAGAAGTCTTGCCTTATTTCAACGGTAAGGGAAAGCCAAGGGCATGGTTTGGACATTCACGGACGCTTTTCGTTCTTCTCTCTCTCTCTTTTTCATCTACTCTGTTCCCAACCCCTTTTGCACTGGGGCCACCTTCCCTTGCGCACTCATGAATCCCGCAAAGTGCTCCTTGGAGCACAACAAGATTGAGCAGGCCATGCGCTCGAACGGCTTGTGGCAGGGGAAGGATTGGGCGTGGGCATGATACTTGTAGCATCACACGAAGTGGCGAAACACATGACGGGTGGGTGAGTGAGTGGGTGGGTGGGTGGGGCACAATGCGACGACTATCGGGGAAGCGGGGGGGGGGGAGGGACCGCAATTAAACGCACACAAAGGTCAGTGAGGTTCGCGCTGGGACATGTGCATGGGCAAGCAAACGAGGTAACATGTGCACCGCGTGCAAATAATATATGGATGAGGGATGTACCTGATTTCTTTCTTGCGCCGGAGATAAAGAAGCAGATGAGTTGTCAGGCGTTGGAGCCGCTGCCACATCCTCGAGTTGTTGCTTCAATGTGCAGAGCGCAGAGTGTGTAGCAGTTCTAACATGCAGGGAATGCCTGAATAACTTTGGTTTTGCAGCAGACTGCTCATCAGAGATTCCCACTGCTAATAAAGAGAGTGGGTGATTCTCGGGGCATGCTGCTGCTGGCACATGCGCTGGCTTATGATTCTGGTTGGTGCTGGTGGGTGACATGTGGGAGCTGGTGAAGGGTGCTGGAGTCCTGTTCTGGTGCTGGTGTTAGTGCTTTTTGTAGTCTTATTACTTTTGGTGGCGGTTCGTTTCTGGTGGCGCTTGTGTTCAATTTCCGCGTGCTGGCACTGAATGCTGTTAAGCGTGACGCAGGTGCTGGAACAGGATGCAGCTTGGTATGCCGGTGCTGGTGCCGGTGAGCGATTTCTGGCCTGCCAGGGGTACTGCTTTGCCTTCGAATTGCTGGCACGGGTGCTGATATGGGATTTCCACGTGCTTGCATGGGTGCTGGCCCGAGATGTACGTTGACATGGTTTCCGCTGCGCTGATGGTCGTGGACAGTTTCCGTTTCCAGATGCTGTGTGCTGCTTGGGGTAGTGGTGCTGATGCCGGTGGGTGATTGGGGTGCTGGATGTTGAGAAGAGACCCGTGGATTTCTGCAAGTGACGTGACACTTGAGGCATTTGGAAAGGGGCCACGGACTTGGTGTGTTGGCGATGCGGGCGGAATCAGCCAATATCAATATCAGCAGGTCCAGGTAGTCTTCGTTGCTGATCATTCGCCAAGTGTGCACGTGAAGCAATGCCTTTGCAGTGGGAATGCTGAGTCCTCCGCTGGGTGCAGCGATGCCTCCGGCTGCCTACCCGAAGATGATGGGATCTTAGCTGGAAGATGCTTAAAGGCAGTTTGGGAGTCCCATAAAAAGGTGGAAACTCCTGTAATCCACCAACACTCCCTTTGAATTTACAAGCCCTGCGTCAACACGAAATCAGGACATCCACGAGTGTCCAAGGGTTCCGTGCAAGGGACCGGCTGTGATGTAGGCTTCTTGCTAGACTGCCTTGGTGTTTAAAGGTGAGCTGTGTGTCTAGAATCATAGAATACCTGACACGACTGAGGCCATACCACCCTGCGCTCATGAGACCTGGCATGCCCATGCCTGGGCTTCCTGGCACACTGCCCTTGGGTCTCGCGGGCTTGCCGTGCCGCTGGCAATCTTTCATGGCGCAAATGATCGCAGATGCTTTTGTCCCGCAGCTCCACCGCTTCCTGGCACTTAGAATTCAAATTGCGTGCACACAAAGCTTTGGGTCAAATGGCTGTGAGGGATGTCAGCGATGAACTGCGAGAAACGCTTGTTCTTCCTGTAGGATCAGGCTTGCTTGTTCTGGGTTGATCCTGCGCCCTTTCTTGTGCTAGTGCCAGGTATCCTGGAATGCCACGGGCTCCGGGAGCTTGGGCCTTGTGTCTTTCAGGGCAAGTGCAAGCCGCTTCAAGCCATTTCTCGCTGCGAAAGTTGCTTTGCAGCTGTGGCTGCCCTTGAGCCCGGAGCATCAAATGCAGGCTTCCCCCTGTGCACTCGTCAGAATTGAGAGCAAATAGAGCAAGGCATGAGTTGGTCCCCTCAGAATACTGGGAGTTCGCAGAGTGCCCCTGCACTCCTCAGGCGCCAATGCCAGCCATGAGACCCATGCCGTTTCCACAGGCCAGCATGAGGAGGTTTGCGCAACAAAATCCGAGTTCAGTGCTCTGCCATTTTGGCCACCAAAAGGAAGCTTGGAGTTAGAATCCGGATTGGTACTTGAAAGTCTCACATTTTGGGCAACTGACTCCAGTGACCAAACTGTCTGTGGCCTGGACTATGCTTGACTCGTCAGTCTCGGCACTGCAAAGACTGGGCAATCCAGGAGGCCTATTGAAAAGCTGATGTCCGCGCCAGGGTCTACCTGGCATGCCTGGTATGCCTGGCATGCCTCCGATGCCCGCTGCTCAGGTAGAAGCCAGGCTGGCCAGACCTCTGACAACCCAAACAGATACAATACAGCATTTGTTTAAAGGCAACCTGCAGGATCTCAAGCCTAGATGCCGCCAAGCAAACGTGCGAATACTGCTGATGATGCACGCGCAGCACCCACAAGACCCTGCAGGTTGGCAACCTGGAGCAACCCCACAATGACCCTGCAGGTTGGCAACCTGCAGGATGTCAAGCCTAAATGCCGCCAATGAAATGTGCCAATAATGCTGATCATGCACACGAAAGACCCTGCAGGTTTGCAGCTAGATGGCGCCAAGCAACCCCGCACTGACCCTGCAGGTTGGCAACCTGCAGGATGTCAAGCCTAGATGCCGCCAATGAAATGTGCGACAAATGCTGATGATGCACACACAGCACTTCCGGAGGACCCTGCAGGTTGGCAACCTGCAGCTAGATGGCGCCAAGCAACCCCACACTGCCCCTGCAGGTTGGCAACCTGCAGGATGTCAAGCCTAGATGCCGCCAATGAAATGTGCGAATAATGCTGATGATGCACACACAGCACCTCGCAAGACCCTGCAGGTTGCCAACCTGCAGCTAGATGGAGCCAAGCAACCCCACAATGACCCTGCAGGTTGGCAACCTGCAGGATGTCAAGCCAAGATGCCGCCAATGAAATGTGCGACGAATGCTGATGATGCACACACAGCACTTCCGGAGGATGCAGGTTGCTAACCTGCAGCTAGATGGAGCCAAGCAACCCCACAATGACCCTGCAGGTTGGCAACCTGCAGGATGTCAAGCCTAGATGCCGCAAATGAAAGCGGGCGACGAATGCTGATGATGCACACACAGCACTTCCTGCAGGTTGCCAACCTGCAGCTAGATGGAGCCAAGCAACCCCACAATGACCCTGATTGCCAACCTGCAGGATGTCAAGCCTAGATGCCGCCAATGAAATGTGCGACAAATGCTGATGATGCACACACAGCACTTCTGGAGGACCCTGCAGGTTGCCAACCTGCAGCTAGATGGAGCCACGCAACCCCAGAATGACCCTGCAGGTTGGCAACCTGCAGGATGTCAAGCCTAGATGCCGCCAATGAAATGTGCGACGAATGCTGATGATGCACACACAGCACGTCCAGAGGGCCCTGCAGGTTGCTAGATGGAGCCAAGCAACCCCACAATGACCCTGCAGGTTGGCAACCTGCAGGATGTCAAGCCTAGGTGCCGCCAATGAAATGTGCGACGAATGCTGATGATGCACACGGAGGACCGCAGGTTGCCAACCTGCAGCTAGATGGAGCCAAGCAACCCCGCAATGACCCTGCAGGTTGGCAACCTGCAGGATGTCAAGCCTAGATGCCGCCAATGAAATGTGCGACGAATGCTGAGCATGCACACACAGCGCTTCCAGAGGACCCTGCAGGTTGCCAACCTGCAGCTAGATGGAGCCAAGCAACCCCACAATGACCCTGCAGGTTGGCAACCTGCAGGATGTCAAGCCTAGATGCCGCCAATGAAATGTGCGACGAATGCTGATGATGCACACACACCTGCAGGTTGCCAACCTGCAGCTAGATGGAGCCAAGCAATCAGACAATGACCCCAACCTGCAGGATGTCGAGCCTAGATGCAGCCAATGAAACGTGCGACGAATGCTGATGATGCACACACAGCACTTCTGGAGGACCCTGCAGGTTGCCAACCTGCAGCTAGATGGAGCCACGCAACCCAACAATGACCCTGCAGGTTGGCAACCTGCAGGATGTCAAGCCTAGATGCCGCCAATGAAATGTGCGACGAATGGTGATGATGCACAGACAGCACTTCCAGAGGACCCTGCAGGTTGCCAACCTGCAGCTAGATGGAGCCAAGCAACCCCACAATGACCCTGATTGCCAACCTGCAGGATGTCAAGCCTAGATGCCGCCAATGAAACGTGCGACGAATGCTGATGATGCACACACAGCACTTCTGGAGGACCCTGCAGGTTGCCAACCTGCAGCTAGATGGAGCCAGGCAACCCCACAATGACCCTGCAGGTTGGCAACCTGCCGGATGTCAAGCCTGGATGCCGCCAATGAAATGTGCAACGAATGCTGATGATGCACACACAGCACTTCCGGAGGACCCTGCAGGTTGCCAACCTGCAGCTAGATTGGGCCAAGCAACCCCACAATGACCCTGATTGCCAACCTGCAGGTTGCCAACCTGCAGCTAGATGGAGCCACGCAACACCACAATGACCCTGCAGGTTGGCAAACTGCAGGATGTCAAGCCTAGGTGCCGCCAATGAAATGTGTGACAAATGCTGATGATGCACACACAGCACTTCCAGAGGACCCTGCAGGTTGCCAACCTGCAGCTAGATGGAGCCAAGCAACCCCACAATGACCCTGCAGGTTGGCGACCTGCAGGATGCCAAGCCTAGATGCCGCCAAGAAATGTGCGACGAATGCTGATGATGCACACACAGCACTTCCAGAGGACCCTGCAGGTTGCCAACCTGCAGCTAGATGGAGCCAAGCAACTGCAGCTAATGATGGAGCCAAGCAACCCAGCAGGTGAGGTCAACCTGCAGGATGTCAAGCCTAGATGCCGCCAATGAAATGTGCGACGTGCTGATGATGCACACACAGCACTTCCAGAGGACCCTGCAGGTTGCCAACCTGCAGCTAGATGGAGCCAAGCAACCCCACAATGACCCTGCAGGTTGGCAACCTGCAGGATGTCAAGCCTAGATGCCGCCAATGAAATGTGCGACGAATGCTGATGATGCACACACACAGCACTTCTTGCAGGTTGCCAACCTGCAGCTAGATGGAGCCAAGCAACCCCACAATGACCCTGATTGCCAACCTGCAGGATGTCAAGCCTAGATGCCGCCAATGAAATGTGCGACGAATGCTGATGATGCACACACACACACAGCACTTCCTGCAGGTTGCCTGGCAACCTGCAGGATGTCAAGCCTAGATGCCGCCAATGAAATGTGCGACGAACGCTGATGATGCACACACAGCACTTCCAGAGGACCCTGCAGGTTGCCAACCTGCAGCTAGATGGAGCCAAGCAACCCCACAATGACCCTGCAGGTTGGCAACCTGCAGGATGTCAAGCCTAGATGCCGCCAATGAAATGTGCGACGAATGCTGATGATGCACACACACAGCACTTCTTGCAGGTTGCCAACCTGCAGCTAGATGGAGCCAAGCAACCCCACAATGACCCTGATTGCCAACCTGCAGGATGTCAAGCCTAGATGCCGCCAATGAAATGTGCGACGAATGCTGATGATGCACACACAGCACTTCCTGCAGGTTGCCAACCTGCAGCTAGATGGAGCCAAGCAACCCCACAATGACCCTGCAGGTTTGTCAAGCCTAGATGCCGCCAATGAAATGTGCGACGAATGCTGATGATGCACACACAGCACTTCCAGAGGACCCTACAGGTTGCCAACCTGCAGCTAGATGGAGCCAAGCAACCCCACAATGACCCTGCAGGTTGGCAACCTGCAGGATGTCAAGCCTAGATGCCGCCAATGAAATGTGCGACGAATGCTGATGATGCACACACACCTGCAGGTTGCCAACCTGCAGCTAGATGGAGCCAAGCAACCCTGCAGTTTGGCAACCTGCAGGATGTCAAGCCTAGATGCCGCCAATGAAATGTGCGGCGAATGCTGATCATGCACAGACAGCACTTCCAGAGGACCCTGCAGGTTGCCAACCTGCAGCTAGATGGAGCCAAGCAACCCCACAATGACCCAACCTGCAGGATGTCAAGCCTAGATGCCGCCAATGAAAAGTGCGACGAATGCTGATGATGCACACGCAGCACTTCCGGAGGACCCTGCAGGTTGCCATGTCTATCCATTTGTCTGTTGGCCTGAGTGTGTTTGTGTGTGTGTTTTGCTTCTTCTTTTGTTTGTTTGTTTGTTTGTTTGTTTGTTTGTTTGTTTGTTTGTTTGTTTGTTTGTTTGTTTGCCTGCTCCGCAGCGGCCGACCTGCAGCTAGATGGAGCCAAGCAACCCCTCAATGACCCTGCAGGTTGGCAACCTGCCGGTTGGCGACCTGCAGGATGTCAAGCCTAGATGCCGCCAATGAAATGTGCGACGAATGCTGATGATGCACACACAGCACTTCCGGAGGACTGCAGGTTGCCAACCTGCAGCTAGATGGAGCCAAGCAACCCCACATGACCCTGCAGGTTGGCAACCTGCAGGATGTCAAGCCAAGATGCCGCCAATGAAATGTGCGACGAATGCTGATGATGCACACACACCCACACACACAGCACCCCGGAATACGCTGCAGATTGGCAACCTGCAGGATCTCCAGCCTAGAAACCAGGCTGCTGATCAGAATCCATATTGTATCTAGGCATGCGAAGCTCTACATGCACATTCGGAGCCATAGTTTGTTTTCAATGTGGTCATACAAACTCTCTGGCCTTGATGGCAGCATGCATGAGTGTTATTTTCCCACCAACCAAGCTCCTGCCATTTGTTGTTTTCCCTTTGAAGGCACTTGTCCGGGAGGTGTTTGGAGTAAGATTTACTGCAAGAGGTCTGTTGTTCTTTGAAGACAGTCTACAGTCTGCAGGTAGGCCACAGTCAAGGTGAGATGTGAGTGGGACAGATGAGTGACGACGATCAAACATGAGCATTGACAATGCATTGACTGGGACAAGGTTTGGTGGTGCTCCTCCACCTCGACCAGCAGCTTTTCCTGGAGTACCTTACGTGGGATCCCCAGTCCGCTTGCATGCCAGACTTGTGTCGCGCTTCGCTTTGCTGGAAGTTTCAGCTGAGAGACAACACGCAGCAGCGACATTCTTTACGAACTTGAGGCACCACCTGCGGCAGCTACTGCGCTGAACAAGGAGGCAACTGCAAATCCCTGGTATTGTAGAGAGTCCAAGAAAGTTGCAGACAATCGATGGTTTGGCTTGCTTTGACCATCCCAACTCATGATGGCTGGCACGGATGATGGGGATGGCAGATTCGATTGGAGCTGCCAGCACTTGTCCTTTGCGGATTCTTGGAGACAAAGAACTTGGATCTGAGTTCTTTCGTAAGGCGCTAGAGAAGCTGCCTCCACAGCAGCAGAAGCAGCAGCAGGATGCTCAGACCCACAGTAGCCATCAGCTGCATGACCAATACGCGCGCCCAAGAAAGGTATTTAGCCAAATGCAGATGCTTAGACATTCAGACATTTCATATGGCAGGAGCGCAATAATTTGTTTAGCGCAGTAGTAACGCCGTCGAAGCAAGGTTCTGTATGTGTGTGTGTGTGTGTGTGTGCTGTGGGGGCGGATATGGTTTTTGTAGGGCGTTCCTAGGCGAAGCTGTGGGTACTCCACCATCCTGCAACATCGTTTCATCAAACTGTGTATTCCCGGATTTAGTTGAAGGGTAGTACAGTGGCTTTCAGCGCCAGCGCCTGAGCGCCCGCAACTTGTTAGGCTTGGAGAGCGGCTTTATGCTCAAAACTACAGGCTTGCCAGAGAGAGGCTGCTGCATGGCTTCTTACACAGCTCGGACCGGCTTTTTGCCATGCCAGTACTTCATATCGTCTCAGTTGCAAGACTCTGACAACTTGTTGGATGCCAAGCTCATCACCGATGCCACCTGGGCTCCAAATGCGCCAGCATGCAACATATGCCCGTCGAATGGGCGGAGCCTGGCCATAGACCACATTTTGGACCCAGAGCACTGATTCGTGCAATGAATGACAGCGGTTGACAGTTGTGTCACAGCGTAGACAGCAGAATAAGCTTATGGTACAGTCAGCTCGCTTTGGAGGGTTTGCCTCTTCCATGGGGCTCGTGGCTTCTGGCTTGCCGAAGCGATGTTCGATGGTCCTGGCCTCAGCATTCATTGTAAACAACAACTGCAAGTTGACCCGGTGCAGAGTCGCTATTTTTGGAAAGACAATAACCCCAACTTGGACTGCCTGTTCTTCGCGCAAGGTTCTGCGAATTTGGCTGCTGATCTTGTTCCAGGACAAAGTGCAAGCGGGGGGTTACTCGCGCGGCCCCCGCATGGCTTTGCCCAAACTCACTAGCTTCCTTCAGAAGTTGTCCTATTGGTTTCTCCTCAACGTTCTCAGAGACATGCAAGCAATATCTATGCATCACCAAGCATGTTGGCGTCGCAGCTTTTGCTCATTGTGGCAGTCACGTTCGGCGTACGCTGCCACGGGCTCGAACAGTTCGATTCATGCAGCTGTTGCGCCTGCACGGCACTGCTCCGTGCACAAAGCTCAAGTATTAAAAGCTTTGTTTTTTGCTTGATTTATGGTTTCAACAGCCTTGCCAATAATTCTGCGGGGAATGTTATGCTCACATTCCAAATGCGCAGCTGATGCGACACGCTACTTCGAAGCTTCTGTTGGTGACGCGGAATGAAGCTATGGACGCTGCTGGCAACTGTCCGGGCTGCACATCTCGCCCCGTGGATCCATTCTCTTGGCGGCTTTGTCTCCGCAAAGCTTGAAGTTAGAGTGGATGGCAAGGGAAGGGCATTGTTTGCCAATGCTTCAATTGCCAAAGATGAGGTATTGATGTCTGTTCCACTGGAAGCAATGCTCTTGGGAGAGGCAGCAGCAAGTTTAACACCATGCGCTAGTGAGATTCGAGACTTTTTCAATGTCGACAGGCATCCTCACAACTCACGTACTCAAGCAATTTTCAGCATCATGACGTTCCTGCTGTCCATTTCTGGCAATTCAGTTTCTCGAGAGCAATGGCCGCACTTGCACGATCTTTTGCAGAATTGGGATGACAGACATCGTAAACGGTTCCCGCTGTTCTGGACATCCTCGATGATGAAGAAGATCTCAGGCACCCTGGCTTTCGATGCTTACTCAATAGCCATCGCTGGTGTGGAGCGCGAGTTCGATGAAGCGCTCCGGCACGCATGTCCTCACATTCACAAGCTCGTCACCCTTCTTGAATACAAACAAATATGGTCGCTGGTGAACTCCCGTGTCCTTACGTATCCTGGTGCTGGTGGCGTCAAGCCTTCCCAACCTGCATTGGTTCCTATGTTTGACGTTGTCAATCATGCCCTCCCAGCCCCAAGCCGAGCACTCCTCACGCAGGCTGCAATCGAACAACACCTGTTGCAGTCATTGGGCCGCTTTGGCACCACCCCTCCGCAAGACACACAAAGACCAGGTTTGCATCTTTGGCTTGAGAGATCAATTCATGCAGGACAAGAAGTTACAGATGTGTATGGCTTGCAGAGCAACCAAGAAATGCTGTGGACCTTCGGCTTCACAGTGCCCTGGATCCACAATCTGACATGCTTGACGCGAACGCGGCTGACAATAAGTCTGAACGAGTTGCCAAGTCCAATACAACACAAGGAGGGAGCTTCTTCCTCCCTTGAGATGCTGGTGCACTCCCCGCTTCACTTTGAGCTGGGAGGTTGCTCTGCTGAAAAGACCTCACCGACAAAACAGCTGGCAGGCTGGGTTGGTCCATGATTCGTGAGGTGCCGATTAGCACTTGGCAGATACTGTAAGCCTAAGCTTGTGCATTTGTTTGGCATGGCTCTTTCAGTTTGGTTGGTGCAGATTGCAAGCATGTTCCATGCATGTAACATGCATGTAGCATGCATGCAGCATGCATTTATGTATACTTGGCAGGACTGCTGTCGTTCTTCAGGGCGTGGCTTGCTTCCTTCAGGGCTTCGCCGCTGGAGTTGCATCGGTCTTGTGCCTTTGCAGCGCCATCGCAGCTCCAGACCTGGGCTTTGGACGCGAAGTGCCGCTACCTCACAGCGGAGGATCAGGTGCTGGTCTTGACAACAGCTTCCAGGCGGTTGGGAGCCAAAACGAGTGGACTCCAATGTAACCCCAATTGTTGAAGTTCTCAGAGTCGCAGTGCGAGTGAAATCCTATCCAGGCTTATTGATGCCAAGCTGTCTCGAATGGGAAGGTCCCTCAGCGCAGACGAGGAGAGCTTGCAAGACGGACGTTTGGAAGGAGAGCGTTTCGACGCAGTAGTGATCCGCCGCGATGAGAAGTACCTGCTCAATAGCCTGAGCATGTGGCTGAAGCACAAAGCAGAGAACCTTGTCAGCATGTTGCAAGCATTGTCTTTTCCCAAAGCAACGCGGCCGCAAGATCTTGTTGCCAGATGCCTTTCCTGTGAGCAGCATCCAGTCATGGATTGCGATTTCACCCAGCACCAGAGGAGGAAGAGACCACGACAAGCAAGAATTGCTGAACTTTGAGCTGGAATGTCGCGCCAGAACCTACCAGCCGGAGCATCGCGATTCGGCTTGCGCACTGGGCGGAGGTGTTCATGCAGGGCAATTCCCAGATGAGATTTGGACAGACGACTCATGTGCTAGTATTTGACATGTAGAGCTGGGGTGCCAAGCGCAGCCCTCAGCACGGCATGACCTGCAGACTGCGCCTGGGCGTGGATCTCTCCCGTTCGCGGGCCTGGCTCTACGTAGCAGACATGAAATATCTCGCCTGTCTCCAGTCGCCAGCTGCAGAGGACAGCTTGCGCTTGGTCGAGGCCTTGCTCCAGTCACTTCGGAAGGCATTGCCAGAATCAAGGAAAAAGGACGAGCAGCATGGGACAACACAAAGCAAAGGCAGCTCTTGAATCGAGCAACTCTTTTTTTGGAGGGCTAGGGCGAGAGTACTAGACAGTGCATACAGCGGTCATCAGCCTTAGCACCTTTGGGTTGCTGACGTGCAGGAGATTGCTGTGTGGTTGGGCATAGGCGCGTTGGAATCAGTTGTGGGGCATGCGCTTTAATTGCAAATGACTTTTTCGGCAAACTCATTGGTACTCCTTGCTGCCAGCAGTTGCAGTTGTAGAGCAAGTGCCTGGAGATAGAGAGGTCAATGGGAGAGAAAAGACATGACCCATTTACTCACCTTCTTCCGTTTTGGACAGGTTGGCAGGATAATGAAGGTATGAATGAAGCCAACCGAAGGAAGAAGATAATTTTAAGCGCTTCGCGTTGCCCGCCTCGGCCAGTCCGCTTTTGGCTGCCTTTGAGGTATATACTGTGCTTCAGTTTGCCTTGAAGTGATGTTATTTAAGTGAGTGAGTCGGCGCCGAAATGCGTGAGCTTGTTTCCAAGCTAGCGGGCGGGCGCATGTCCGCACGTTTTTACCTGGCTTCAAAGGGCCAGACCGAGAGCCGCAGAGAGCTACAGAATGGTGGGCCAAGCGCAGGTGCGAATTTCTAGGGTATTGGACGGCTTCTTTTTTGGATTTTGACGGTTTTTAGAGGGATTTGACTGGAGTTGGACCTGTTCTCAGAGGGGATCTAACAGGCTTCTAGAAACGAATTCGGTTGGTTTCTACGGTTTTTAATTGGCATGACCAGTTAACGGGAATTTGGCCGGTTTCTAGGGGGATTTGACCGGAGTGGTGGAGGGGAGGAAGTTGACGATGGGAAGTTGGCCGGCTTCCATCGGCTTCTAGAAGGGGATTTGACCAGTTTCTACGGGTTTTAACGGGGATTTGATACGTTTTAAGGCAAATTTGGGGTTGGAAGAATCTGAAGAGGGGGGGATGGGGTTTAGAAGATCCTGAAGAGCTTCCCGGCCCTGGGGGCCGAGGCGAATAGCTGTCCAAAATAATAGATTTCTAATTGGGGCAGCTATCACATAAATTCGCCACCTCTTCTCTTTGCTGGGTCTGGGATTTACAGTTTGACGAGTGAAACGAGGAGAGATGGAACCTTTCTGTAATAGCGGTTCATCTCTGAGATTGATGGTGTGCAGATATGCTTCCCAGCCTTTAAAATTAGAAAGAGATGTAGGCTGAGCTGGGTTAATATTTTTCCCGTCTTGGAAGCTTACCGTAGCGGATCGATGAGGCCCCGACACATGGTCGGGCACTGTGCTACCTGGCGCAATGGCTCAGATAGAGATGTGCCCAGGCCTCACCATCAATACGGTGCACGTTCTATGTTGAAACTACTAATGATGTTCAGCTCGCCATAGTGCCTGAAAGTCCATTTCGCGGTTGCTGGTAGAAGCCAGAAACCCAGGATGGATGTGAGGCAGACAAATGTTCTACCTATGCGGAAGTTTTGGCTAAGGCCATCCCGAGTGCAAGAAGCCGCGGACTTAGCTGCCCGGAGTTTCGCAACCGACTGTAACTCACGCGGAACGTGCTTGATAGGAGGATACCCGAAGCCCAGGATTAGGGGTTTGCTTGTAAGTTGCAATTGCCAATCACATCATGTTTGCTTGCATACCTTGTACTGCCCTTAGCCACAGGTGTCATTTGTTTGACTTTGACCTGTCGTGGCATTGCCTAGAATGCGCGTGGCTCAGAAGAATGGCGTGCTCAGATCGAATGCTCAGCTTGCATCGAATGGTGAATTCGGTCCCAAGGCAATTCGGGTTATGACCTTTGGGTGGACGGCTGCTTTTTGCCTTGTCCGGCTGGAGAGCCACGCGCTGAAAGGGCAATGCGAGACCACCGTCCACTTGCGGGCATTGGATGGCATTGGACAACACCGGACAA